TAGCAACACAAATGGACTAAGACAACACTTAACAATTTTTGACAAATCACCCTATTGATAAACTTCTCCACCATCATCATAACTACCTTCCCTGCCCTCTTCTCTAGCTACCCAATCCGTGCTAGCAAAGAAATGACAAATGAATTTTTTTTTGAAACAGAGTTTCACTCTGTCACCCAGGCTGGAGTGCAGTGGCACGATCTTGGCTCACAGCAACCTCCACCTCCCAGGCTCAAGTGATTCTTGTGCCTCAGCCTCTTGAGTAGCTTGGATTACAGGTGTGCACCACCACACCCGGCAATTTTTGCATTTTTAGTAGAGATGGAGTTTCACCATGTTGGCCAGGCTGGTCTTGAACTCTTGGCCTCAAGTGATCCACCTGTCTCAGACTCCCAGGGTGCTGGGATTATAGACATGAGCCACGGTGCCCTGCCAGAAATGACAACTGCATTAACTGAGCTAACAACTAGGATTGTGGTACTGGAAAGTCCTTAGTTCATTCCAGCTCCTGCTTTTTATAAACGAAGACATGAAGTCCAGAGATATTGCCCAGCTTGAATCAAAACTCACACAACCAATTAGGGGTGATACTGGTATTAGATCTTGGGTCTGCACATTTTTAGTTCAGGCACTGGTCTGGAGAAATCTGCAAAGTAGAAAATTAGTCCACCCTCTCATTTGGCTCATGTTTGACTCCACCAAGGGAACAAGAAACACTGCTCTTCCTAGGCCGGGCGGGGGGGGGGGTTTACCTTGCTGGAAATTTCTATTTTTAGCCTCTATAGAAGACACTCCCTGCAGTGGGAGTGTCTAACAGACTGCTGTGGGATTTAAGGCACTCTCCATGGTGTTTCTTGGTGGTTGCCATGCCAACGAAATTTAATAGAAATAGAGTTTTCTAGTTGAATATTCTGGTGAAGGCTTTAAAGCCAGATTAACAGCTCCAACTCTGAAGCTTAAATGATGCAAATGATTTGTACTGGCACATAGTAGGCATACCATAATACTTGTTGAAATTCAGAATGAATATATATGCAATTAGTTGCATGAGGCAGCTGGAAAACCTAACAGCTGAGAACCAAGCTGTTTCTTAAAGTCAATACTTAAAAGTCAGGGCGGAGTGGTGGAGTAAGTTCATCACATCCTCCTTGGGAAGTGGTGTAGCTCTGGGTTTTCCTAATTACCTAACACTTGGTGTGAGAAATGATTTGTGTAATTCCAAAGGACCGTGTCTGATCTTCAGGCCACTTATTAGCTCTGCAACCCAGGGGGTTCCCTCTGCACACAGATGTTTGCTGCAAACATGGAAAAGGTAGCACGAATCTGACCTTGGGTTCCTTTTGCAGGCCTTTTATCTGGGGCAATTACTCAAATCTTAAAGGATCTGTGTCCAGTCCTCATAATACTGTTTTTTGGCAAATGTAATCAACATATTTAATAAATGGATCAAAAAAATTTAAACAGCCTCTGTGGTTCAAACCTTTCAAACCTGTGTTTGAAAAGCAGCCTTTCTGGCCACAATGAGTGAGTGAATGTTATTTAATAAACGGAGAGGAAAGGGAGCTCAAAAATCTCCCTTCAATTCCTAGGTCTTTCCGCCGGGATTCTCTAACCACCCCAGCCTGAAGGGCTCTTTCCCTTCTCAATGAAATCTATATTCTATATGAATCATTTGGCCTTCCTCCCTCCTTTCTCGCTTCCTTTCTGCCTCTTTCTCTCTCTTTTCCTACCTATTCTTCCCTTCGGCCCATCCTCTTTTCCTCTCCACCACCCTTCCTTCCACAGTCATGATGGAAAGTGACCAGGCTTTTGGAGTGAGAATTAGCTTCAAATTCTTACTACCTCTCATGCTTCTTAGCAGCATGACCTTCGGCTGTCATCACATCTCCAGCAGCATTCTGTCTTGTGCACAAAGGGCTGCCAATGTCTGCCTCCTTGCTTATTGTAACAAAGGAGTATTTCTCAAACTTTAGTGGTCATAAGAGTCACCTGCAGAGACAGGTGAAAATGCAGATCTTCAAGATCCACAACAGCAGATTCTAATTCGTCATGTCAAGGTTTCAGACATCTGCATTTTGACCAGATCCACAGGCTCCCCAGATACCATTTTGAGAAACACTGGATATGCGCATAAACGTTTAGTATAGTAAGATCCATTGTAATTACTCTAAAGGTGAGAGCTATGACCATTAATAATTCAGCAAACATTTATTGAACATCTACTATGTGCCAGGCATGATGTCAGGCGCTATAGACACTTCCCATTTAATTCCTTTTATTAGGTATTTAACTTGTCCTATATATATGCCTTGTTCCCGTCCCACTAGTTTTAAGTGCCTGGAGGGCAGAGTAAAACAGCATAATGTGGCATAGAAAAACATCAGTGTTAGAAGACATGAACTCTAATCCTGATTTTATTATTTATTACCTATGCGACTTCAGGCAAGTCACTTTACTTCTCAGAACTTTATTTCCTTCATCAAAAACTGGAAAGTCAAGGAGTACAGTGGTTAAAAGCCTAGTGTTTGCCATCCTGGCTCTAACGCTTTCTAGATTTGTGATCTTGAGAAAGTTACTTAACTTCTCTGGGACTGTTTCCTCCTATGTAGAAAGGGGACTTATTTGTTCAATATTATTCTTTTAACAGATATTTTTTGAGCACTTTGATCAGGACCGTGCTAAGTCCTGGGAATATATTGGAGAGTAAGACAAACAGCATCCCTGACTCACATAGTCTACAATTTAACAGTGGATGTAACTATTAAGCAGACAACTGCACCCATAACCCAGCACAAAGAATTATGACAAATCCTGTCGTGATAAATTTTCCTAATAGGAGCTAACCTTGTCCAGGAGTGTCAGGGAAGACCTCGGAGAGAGAATACTTAGGATGAGCTCTGAGGGATGAGTAGGCATTACCAGATAAAGAGGCTCCAGAGATGGGAAGAAGCAAGACTCTTAAGGAAAGGGATGCCAGTGTGGCTAGAACTGAGTGCACAAGGTCCCCCCCACCCCACCTCACAGGTGTTCAAAGATTCAGTGAGGTAATTGGTGGTGTACACAAGTGACACTCTGAGACCCGCTCAAGGTCTTAAATGCACGTTGACTAAGTCGAATTTCCCACAATACTCAGCTTTAGGCTCTGTACAGAATAACCTCTCCATAATGATTTGACAATATTTATGATATTATTAAGGTGAGAAAGGGACTTTGAAAATCTCCATCCTCTCATTTAACAGGGGAGGAACTTAGGACGGTAAAAGAAGTAGCAGCTGTCTGAGAAATAGGAGGAGCTGGACTGGTGCAGTGGCTCACATCTGTAATCTCAGCACTTTGGGAGGCCGAGGTAGGCGATCACCTGAGGTCAGGAGTTCAAGACCAGCCTGGCCAATGTGGAGAAACCCCGTCTCTACTAAAAATACAAAAATTAGCTGGGCATGGTGGTGGATCCTATAATCCCAGCTACTAGGGAGGCTGAGGCAAGAGAATCACTTGAACCCAGGAGGCAGAGGTTGCAGTGAACTAAGATCACACCACTGCACTCTAGCCTGGGCAAGGGAGCGAAACTCTGCCCTCAAAAAAAAAAAAAAAAAAAAAACCGGGGGGCGGGGGAGGAGTGTGAACCTGAAACCTTTTCCTCCCCAGAACATGATTTTGTTGTGTTTTGTCATGAAGGCAGTAGGTGTGAGAGGTTGACCTGCAGGCGCCTCCCAAGATGACTGAGATAACCTTGCACTCCAATGTGTGTATCTTTCAGACTTTAAAATTTTTTACTAAATAAATTGATTGTTGGAATAAATATAGTCTTGAGAATGAGTCAAAAATAACTTCAAGGAAATATAATATTTTCAAAGCAAACACATCACAACTGCCTATCTCCATTTATGTGGATGTTGGTGCATATTAGTTCCTCTTCTCCTTCCTGCTTATTAAAGGTGTGTAGGCCCCTTTCTTACGGAAATAATAATAATTATAAATGAAGTAGCAACAACAATAATAGCTTACTTTATCAGTGTGTGTCCGGGTCAGGCAGCGTTTTCACCTCCATCGTCATCAGCGCGTTCAGTCCATCACTCTATTAAGAGGTAGGTCCTGATTATATTCATTTCCTAGATGAGGAATCGAAGGAACAGCAAAGTCTAGTTACTTGACTCAGGTCCTAGAGCCAGGATTTGAATCAAGTCTTATGCCAGAGCTTGGGATCTTCATTGCATTTGATGTGATAATTCACTTGTGAAAAACAAAGCAATTCATTTGTTTTCATTTGTCAAAAACAAAACAAAATCTCAACTAACTATTAAGCTCTTTACAGTTAAAATAAAATCAGGTGTTGAAATGAGTAAGCCCCGAGAAAAGCCACCCGGAGGAGTCAAGAGGATGCACTAACTGTCTACAGAAGAACAGAATCTCTTCTTTTGACAAGAAAACCAATAGTAACTTTTATCTTAGTTTCACGTTTCAGGAGTTAGAGTGGGGCAAACCAAAACAGGTTAAAAAAAAAAAAAAAAAAGCCCAGCAAGCTGAAACATCAGGGTCCTTCAGAAGGAATGATTTGCCGTCCTCTCTTTAGGACATCCTCTCTTTAGGACGACAAACCTTTTTCCATGGAAAGAGGGCGCCCTCCTCAGAAATGGGGGTGCAGGTGAGGGATCTTGTTGCTTTAACTGTTCATAACCCCTGCACTTTACTAGATTTATCTCTGCCTGTTAACGTAGCCTCAGGACACTTGGCTAGGGCGACTGGAGTGTACTCTCTGGGTTAGTTATGTTGGGACATTCTCGCCCAGCTGCTTGGGATGAAGAGGTCCTAATTAGATACCTGGACCTTCCAACGGGCAGATTTAAAAGAAGATGCCCAGCTATGCTTCATCCTCATCCACACTCTCCCGCTCCCCACCAAAACTAAGTGCAAAAAAGCTTGCCAGGGCCTGCAGAAAGCGCCGCGCCTGCGAGGCTGACACGCGTCTTCCCTTCCCTCCCCCGGGAAGGATCCCAGCATCTCTCGCAGTGATGTCAGTGTAATCCGGAGTCGGATCGGGCTCCCGGCTGGGTAGCGGGGGCGCAGATGGTGCTCCCGCTAGCCGGGGAGAGCAAGGGTGTTCCCCGCGGAGGTGGCAGCCCTGGGGCGTTCCGGCACTCCCGCGGCCCCGGCGCGGTGCCCCCGGTGCCCTCGAGCGCCGCCCCCGCTGGCTGGCAGCGCCTCGCTCCGCCCTGGACGCCGCGGGTCCTGGCGCGGAGGTGCGGCGGGGGGTGGGAGCCGGCCCGGCTCAGCCTGATTTACGGCTCTGCTGAAAACCGCTTCGCTCCCGCAGCATCAGCACCGGCGGCGGCGGCTGCAGTAGCAGCAACAAGTCTGGTAAGAGGCGGCCGCCGGCCATCTGCGCCCGCGGCTCGGCGGAGGGGACCGGCTGGGGTGGCCGGGGCAGCCGGGGCAGCCGGGGCTGAGGAGGGGGTCCCCGAGCCCGCAGCGTGGCTGGGAGTTGGGAGAGCCGGCTTCCAGGCCCCCACCTGCAGAAACTCGCGTGCGCACGAATCCACTCTGGCACCCGTGGGCTGGCACGCAGCGGAGCGGGGGCGGGGAGAGCTGAGACCCCGAGGCAGGGTCATTGCCAGCCTGCCCGGCTCCGGCAGTCAGTCACTTAGGGCTCTTCCGCCAGCCCCGTGGACTGGGGTTTCCGCTGGGCCCATAAAAGCCTGAGTGCTCTGAAGTATGTGATTACCCATTTCCCCATCCAAAATGCCACCCCTTTCCCATTGCCCCCCTAGAATTCTGACTTCTCCTTTCTCTACCTCTTGCCAACGTCTTTGGCTCTGAGCTGAGCAGGGTTTGCATGTCGTTCCCAGAAAACCAGTGGTTAAACATCCTGGTGTACCTACCGCAGGAAGCGATTCCGCTCTCTGGGGGCCGGAGGCTTCACCTAGAAGCTTGCCCAGTGTCTGGGTCTCCTGTCTAGGGACCATCTGCAAGTCTGCTTTTGAAGAGGTCGAGGCACTTTTCACCCAAAGACACCAGTTGGGATCCCTCGTTTCGGGTCCAATGCTTGTTACATTTAAGTAGAAATCGTTCATGGAGGAATAGATAGGCACTGCTTGCAGAATTGAGTTGCTAACAGTCATCTGTTGCTAGGGTGAAGATAATAAATCCCTACAAGGAAATCAGAACTTCCTGTTATTAAGAGAGTTATGAGGATACCTACTTGGTTCATACATTGACCATCCCTAGAGGCTGTCATATAAAATAGGGTTTAAGACAAAATACATCCACCCAGAACACTATTATAATAAAAATCTTGGCTGTGGCCCACTTAGGTCAAATGGTATTTGATACATTGGGTCCCCAGGTTTCAGTAAAACTCACGTATAGGGTCTATTATTGTTACAATAAGTACTTTGGTTTATGTCATCACAGCAATACCTGAAAGAAAAAAAGGCAAAAATCTCAGGGTGAAAAAATTTCCGCTGATTGCAGGCTTAATGTCACTGTGCATAACTTGAGTCATCTTTCTTGTACTTGAGGAAAGGTCCTAAGCTTGCTGTCTTAGGACCCATTTTGACAGTTCATGTGAGTTTTCATATTGTTTGTGGGTGTTCATGCATATCGGATTATATCCTTAGAATGGGGCACAGTTTTGCATTTAGTGTGCCAAAGTCAGGAGGGCAGAAAACTTGAATTCCATGTCTGGATCTACCACTTTCCATCTGACCTTGGATTAAGGGCCTGACCTCCTTGCTCCAGTGTTCTCATCTGTGATGAGGGAATGTTACCCACCTTTTTGATTCTACGTAGAAGTTGGCAAACTTTTTCTGTAAAGGTAGTAAATATTTTAGCATTTTGGGGTATAGTGTCTCTGTCTCAGCTACTCCCCACTGCCATTGTAAATAATACAGAAATTAATATAGATGGATTTGGCCCGTGAGTCATAGGTTTTAATTATAACATAAAATATTGCGTGCAAAAGTCACTTGAATTTCCTCTGCTGTCATGGAGATGAGTAGCCATTATTTTAGTAATGTGTTTTTCAGCAGACAAGTAAACTACCTATTTCCCCCTCCCAGGACTTTTAGAGTAATGCAACAGAAGGCTTTTGAGGAAAGCAGATATCCCTGGCAGGAGTCCTTTGAGAATGTTGCTGTGTGCCTGCCATTCCGCTGCCCGAGGTGTGGAGACCATACCAGATTTAGAAGCTTGTCATCCTTGAGGGCCCATCTGGAGTTCAGTCACAGCTACGAAGAAAGAACCCTCTTGACAAAATGCAGTCTCTTTCCATCCCTCAAAGACACAGACCTAGTCACTTCCTCAGAACTCCTGAGACCAGGAAAATTGCACAGCAGTGGCAACGTGGTAAAGCAGAAACCGAGCTATGTTAACTTGTACAGCATTTCACATGAACATTCCAAGGACAGGAAGCCATTTGAGGTGGTGGCAGAGAGGCCTGTGTCCTACGTGCAGACCTACACTGCCATGGACCTCCGTGCAGACTCGCTGGATGGGCCACGGTCGGGTCCTGGACTGCCCACCTCAGACACCAAAGCTTCTTTCGAGGCACATGTCAGAGAAAAGTTCAATCAGATGGTTGAGGCTGTGGATAGGACCATTGAGAAGAGAATCGATAAACTCACCAAAGAGTTGGCCCAGAAAACTGCGGAACTGTTGGAAGTTCGGGCAGCTTTTGTGCAGCTGACTCAGAAAAAGCAGGAAGTTCAGAGACGAGAGCGGGCCCTGAACAGACAGGTGGACGTGGCGGTGGAAATGATAGCTGCATTGAGGCAACGCCTGACGGAATCTGAGGAGGAGCTTCTTAGGAAAGAAGAGTAAGTGTTGCTGACAGGGGATGCTAAGCCCATTGCTTTAAGCAGCGCTCCCATCCCCCTTACAAGCAAATGCTAAGCAAGGTTGAGTTTTGCTTTCTGCAGGTGCCGTGACTGCATTTCTTATTGATATAGTTGAACCAAGAGGTTCGAGGCTTTGATATCATTTGTGCTCTGTGTGCATGGTCTGCAGCCTAGCAACATTGGAGTCAAATATCGAATTCCTCCTCGACTGGGAAATTGTGAACCACAGATCATGTTTTTAGAGAGAAGAGTAGCACAGCCTACCCATGGTGGCATCCATTCCTAGCACCAAATGGTGTGCAAGGGTGAGCTGAATGGGAGGGCAGAAAGGGTGAGCTGAGTGACTGGTTTCCTCTTGACAGTCTCCATATTATAAAGTCAGTAATGCAAGATACTGTCTTATGTACAAAAATATTCCTCCAGTATAAATAAGTTTGGTTTATTTGCCATTTTGTATTATCTTCTCAGGTTAATTAATTGTTAGTAGCTGATAATCCATTTAGTTTCATTGATATTTGGGAGAAGCAGACTTTAGGAAATGCAGAGGAAAGACTTTCTGACATTGCTGTTCTTCTATGATTTTAGTTTGAGACTTAACTTTTTGGAAAATGATGTATATTGGATTAAGTTTTGGCCACTTGCAAAGAGCTGTGATTGGTTTTCACAAGTTATAGATTATACAAGCTATTGCTTGAGAAATCATCATACTCGGAGAAGCATTTCCTTATCAATAAGTATAGATTTAACCCAAACTAGAAAAGTATACATAACAAGTCATTGTATTTCCCAAATGCAGAATGTCAGATCTCATTTTAAAGAGACTCCAAAATTCATGGAATCAAAAGACATTAAAATTGATAGAGTAAAACATCCTACCTAGAAGGTAGGTTTCCAAATAATTTGAGTTATATTATAGAGCTTGATTTCATTTCATCTTTTCTTTGCCCTCTGGCACTCTTCTATTTTGTGTTGTCTCTTAAAATGTAATAATTAAAACTTCCTGAGACATTCCATAGATTAAAGAGATCATTGCTATCACCTAAATGTTTACATTCAGGGGAAGCCTAGATGTTTTTTGTTCAGGTGAGACATTTTTTTTAAATTACATATTTAGGATGGATTTGAATCAGCCTCTGACTTACTTTGCTTCTAGGGAAATAATCTCTAATTAAAAATGTTTCCCTTTTGGTTTCTGGTGTTTGCCGGTGGGAAGTTAGTGTCTTCACCTGTTAATGGCCACCAGGGTGACCTACACCATTGCTGTTGAAGAAAGGGCAGATGGGGTTACTCTATGCATAAAGAAAGATCCAGAGTTAAGTTTAACAATCTTTGCTTGATTCAAGAGCAGTGAGTTTAAAAGGCAACCAAATTAACTTTTGAACTTATTTATTTGTTGTATTTTACTTATTAATCACACAAGTTATAATAAATATGAGATTTGGGGCAGTAGTTGCCTGTAGTGATGCGTTCCCTAATTATTAAATTATTTTTAGCCTAATTATTAAAAATAACTAACTAAATAAAAGTGGGCCATGCATGGATCAGTTACATGTTGTGGTTAATCCAAGGCTGTTGCCTGAGCACCAGTTAAAAAACTAATACATGTTAAAAAGGAAAAACTTGAATAGACAGAATTATATGTGTAAAAATAGCCTCTCCAAGCACATTCTATCTTATTCTTCAGAGACAGCCTCTTAAATGCTGTAGATGTCCCACTTGCAAAGAGTTGAGATTGATGTCTACAATTGTACACACACACAGATTCCATTTTTCTAAGTGAAATTGTGACACATACTGTCCTGCCACTTGCACGCTGAATTGTTTTCGTTTTTACTATGATAGGTTTCAGGCATCTTTCATTTACTAAATACAGAACTATACTACTCCTTTTGACTGTTGTATAGCATTCCATGGTATGGGTGCATCATAATCCATTTAACCATTTTGTTATTGATGAATACATAGTTTTGTTCCGTTTTTCTAGTATTAAAAATAGTGCCTTGGTTATTATCCTTGTACATCTTTGTTCACATTTTTGTGAGTATCCCTGAGGATAAATTATGAGTTGACTTTTCTTGAGACAGAGTCTCACTTTGTCACTCAGGCTAAAGTGCAATGATGTGATCTCCACTCACTGCAACCTCTGCCTCCCGGGTTCAAGCAATTCTTCTGCCTGAGCCTCCCAAGTATCTGGGATTACAAGCTCCCACCACTGTGCCCAGATAATTTTTTGTATTTTTAGTAGAGACGGGGTTTTGCCATGTTGGCCAGGCTGGTTTCGAACTCTTGACCTCAAGATATCTACTGGCCTCGGCCTCCCAAAGCTTTGGGAGTACATGGGTGAGCCACCGCCTCTGGCCATGAGGTGATTTTCTTGTCATTTTCAGACTAACAGGAAAAAGCGCTGATATTCTAAAAAAAGAAAACTGTTTTTAAATAAAAGTGCAGTCAAATTGCCTTAAGCTTTTAAACATAAACAACATCTTCATTTTTTTTTTAAGTGTTCATTTGGGCCAGTCCCATCAGTTTCTGTAGTCAGGCCTCAAGTAATCATTCTTTCTGTACACAAAAGGGGACTGAAAGAGTCTTGTTTCCAGGGAGGACACTAGAGCTCTTGGTCCCAGAGCAGGACTGTGGACAGCGACCTCAGTGTCTGCAGCCTCTGGCCTCCCACCCCCACCCCTGCCATCTGAATGGGGATGCAGAGGGAGCTACCCACCTGTCACACCCTTAATACTGGGTTGATTTGCCTGCATCTGCCTGGCTGGGCGGTGGGTTCGTCTTCCCTCCTCAGCACTCCCTCAGAGAGCCGTGCCTTCCACCAAAGAGTTGGCCTTTCAGATAAGGGAAGACCCTATTTTGCCAAGGACTATACCAGGAGCTATGCTCCCCTGCCAAACACTTCCACATGAGCTCTGTAGGCCCATCTGTGAGAGAAAATAGGTTGTTAACCATCTCATTCACAATTGACTTAAACTCCCGGGGCCCTTTGAAACATAGTAGACTTGGTTTTAAAAAAGCAAACATCTGTTATTTAAAATTCACATAAGCTCCTTTTACTTTTGGATTTTTCCCTTTAAATTTTAAAGTCCTTTCTTTCAAGTTAAAAGACCCAAAGGCTGCTTCTGCCCTGAGGCCATCTGTAGGCTGAATCAGCCAGACTGTAGAAGTCATAGCATACATATACTCATCCACATACTCATAGCAGAGGAGGTTGTTTGAATTGAAAATACACTTGACCCTGAAACGACTCAGATTTGAACTGTGCAGTTCCACTTAAAAGCAGAGGTTTTCTTTGTCACCACTGAGACAACAAGACCAATCCTTCATTTTCTCCTCCTCCTTTACAATGATCCGTTCCCATTTAATGAGTAGTAAATATATGTTCCTTATGATTGTCTTAATAACATTTTCTTTTCTCTAGCTTCTTTTAAGAATACAGGTATGTAAAACATGTAACATACAGAATCTCTGTTAATCATTTGTTTATGTTACAAGTAAAACTAGGAGTTAGGTTTTTGGAGAGTTAAAAGTTATACTTGGATTTTCAACTGCATAGGAGATTGGTTCACCTAATCTCTGCATTGTTTGAGGATCAGCTATTTTGCACTTATGTACTGGTGACTCTCATTATATCCCTGTAGAAGGTATCTGTAGGTTTTGGAGTGCAAACCCAGGAAAGAAGTTGCTTATTGTCTTGACAAAGTCAGTGTAACTTTAAAAGTCCTAGTGAAACAGGCATTTGCTTATTGAAGGTATTCAGAGCTGGTGGGTAATCAGGTAAATCAATCCTGGAAACTTACAGTAAGATATCCCTTAACAAGAAAGGATGGACTTAGTAGCTAGTTGCTGGCTGAGTTGGTCCCATGGAGTTTGGAAAACTTAAGTGTAATAAAAGTAAGGCAAACTTTACTCTTCTGCGATAAGGTTGAAAAGTCCTGATAGAACTTCTGTCATGTGCCCAGTGCTGTGCTGGGTGTGTGTGTGGGAAGAGAAAATGCTTGCTGTCTTTCCCTAAGGTGTTTGTGTTCTGTATAGGAAGAATAAGGCATACTCACAAACATGCCCATGTCCAAACAAGGGGAGTTTTGAGAAGTGCCTCAATATAAGCCACAGCTTCAAGTTGGTAAGACATTAGAGAACAGATTTTTCTGTGTGGAGAGGCCACACTGAGGGAATGAGGAGGAAAGGCAGAATTTGCATTGATGGCCAGAAAAGAGTGACCTTGAAGGGGCAGCAGGGAGGGCTGCTAGAGATGGCCCCTGAGTAGACCATGCGATTTTTGATGTGAGGACCAGAAGGTTGCCTCTGTTTCCTGTAGGATAACACATTCATTTTATACATGCAGAAAATAAGGCCCAGAGCAGGGGAATGACTTGCCCAAGGACAGAGATTTAGTAGCAAAGCTGAACCTGGAATCCAATTTCCCTGTCTCTCTGCTGAGTGCTTTTTCCATCAGTTCACTGTGTCCCAGCCAGAATCCTGAAAATGTGATTATTTTTTTTTTTTTGGTTTGCCCAAAGCGTCAAGACTTATGTAATCCTGAATGTGGCCCATTTTGGATGGGCTTGCTTCTTTGCTATTTTAAGAGGGCTGCCATGGTGACATCATTTATTTTTCTGATGTGATTAAAGAAAATGTCAACTGGTATCCGAGGTGTTGGGAGGCAGAGGAAGGGGGCATCATCAATGTGGTCATGATATTAAGCTTCCAGAACATCCAGCCCTGGGCTTTTCACTTGACTCTCAGATGTGCTTGCTTAATCGGGGTAGGGCATTTGCCACTGCTAGGCTTTGATCACAATGAGAGGCCTCTTTGTGATTCCGTCTCTGATTTTCATCCTACTCCCTTGCAGGCAGTAACACATAGAATCCGTTTCCCTTTTTCCTTCATCATTTGCCCTGTTCCAGCCTAAAGCCATGCAGAAGACAGATCTTTATTGAGAGTTTGCTGAGCAGCAGGTACTGATCTAGGTTCTG